TTGTCTGCTTGAACCTGCTCTGTTTGAGCCTTCTCTGCGTGCACCTGCTCTGTTTGTGCCACGTTTGGTTCTGTAAATGAAATTCACATAAAATAACAAAAAAACACAACTATAACAACTATTAAGAGTCTTAATTATGTGATGTAAAGTCTTGGTATTAATAGTAGCTATTTAGATAGCTCCTATTTGTTGACGCATTAATATTAAATACAGAGTATCCTGATTTGCTGCTGCTCAGCATATAGCTGAGAGCTGAGAAATGCTGAGCTCGTGCGGCTCACGCATACGAAACGGATGCACGATACATATTCCCCTTTCGCTTCGTATGTGCTGCCGTTGACGCTATTGCCGGTACAATGGTTACACACTATACCAGCGAACATACGAAGTGAAAGGGGAATATGTATCGTGCATCCGTTTCGTATGCGTTAGATGTACACTTTTAGAATATATGAAAGACTGAGAGCAAAAACAGCACGTCGCATCTCATCTCTTGCTTTCACTTACGTAAGCAAAATAACGAGGGATGCGACGTTTTTCTCGCAGCTTCTCATATGTCGGTCGCAACACAATTTCAAACTCAACTGGTTACTAAGTTTTGAGTTTTGAATTGAACGTCCAATCAACTGTTTATAACCGTTTAAACGGGGAGAATGCATGTGTGCGTGCCATCCGTTTCGTATGCGTTAGCCGCACGGGTTCAGCATTTCTCAGCTCTCAGCTATATGCTGAGCAGCAGCAAATCAAGATGCTCTGATTAAATATCTCAAAAACTGGCCAAAAAATCATTCCGAACGTATACTCCTTAAAAATCTGTTTCAACCGCAACGACTCACTTATTCGAATCCAACAGAAGTAGAAAAAATTACCTTGATGATCCCGATGGTGCACTGGAATCAAGATTTGAATTGCTGTGAATGACCGACGGAGTATCGTGAATGTCTGTAATATATATTGCATTATTATTTAAATATATTTAAACCTGCTTTTTAATTTGAGAGGGTATTTCTTTTTTTCTGCGATTAATTACCATAGCCAAGATTGCGTGCCATCCGCGTCGTACTAGTAGTTGTTTGTGAACGGCTTAGAACAGTGCCATCTTCATCATCGGAATTACTACTTCTCCTAGTGTTAATTCGAAAAAGACCTCTTCCTGTCCCCTCTACTTCATTGACCAGCACTAGGCCCTGCCAATAATTTACAAAAAATTAAAAAAACAACCTTTTTTCGTAATTAATACACTTGTACCAATGTCAAAAGAAGCCCGAAAAATATAGGTGAAAACTTCATCTTTATCTATACGAAGAAAAATTGAATTAAATTGACTAAAACTAGTATTTATACTAAAATTGATGATAACTTTTTTAATACGTTAGCAAAATATTCTTGTTCCACGTGTACGCACAATATGCGTAAGGAGCTGAAAACAGTAACGTAAGAAATAAACAACTCATGACCAGAAGTTACTTAGCGAATTTTCCAGCGAATTTCATCTTCAATAGATTGAAAAATAATTAGAGAAAAAAATTAATTTTATTTTACACAAGCGTGTTTAAGTTAAATAATAACAAGGTTTACGTACGCATGTAAACAAAAAATTTGAAGAAGATTATGAATGTAACGTTTTTGGTTAAAATTTATCGTCAAAACCCTCTTGATCAAAACACCTTCGACCATTATGAAATTTCATTCGTTTCGTTTCAAAAACGAAACTATTTTTCGGCTGTATTTGTTTCAACATTTTCTTTGCGGTAATAAATTGATATCGCTTGTCAATTTTGTCCACAAAAAACTATGTTACCAGTAGCCAGGAAAACCGCCTACTATTACTCGAAATACATATGATTCTGAAGAAGAAAAAGAAAACCGAAAAGAAAAGAAGATCGTTCAAGAAATCAAACCCAAAATGGAATTTCAAAAAGAACACCTACAATGAGCAGCACAGCTCCGAGTAATGTAGCTATAACTCGAACATCCAAATCCATTGGGAAACTGATACCGAAATGGTCGGCTTCCGTGAAAGATTCGCGGGCCAATCCAGACCACCTCTTTGATATTCTACCAACTTCTCTATCGTTCAATGAGCGCACCTGTTAAAAACGAAGTTTTTAAAAAACAAAAGTACGACTTTTCTGAATAATACCCAAACACAAATCGTTATTATACCTTAATTACAACATCACCCAATCTCATTTTAACTGCCGGACCAACGATGTGTAAAATAGTTTCGTTCTTATGATTTTTCACTTTAAAATTTGGATAAACAAGTGTGTATTTTTGCCGGATTCTTCCAAAAATTTGGCCACTTGATGTTGATACTTCAATAGAATCGGTGAATCCAAGGGCAGCTGGACAATATAAATGCAACACTTCGACATGGCGATTGTCTAATATTTTCATATTAAACGGTCGACCTGAGCCGAGAAAAAAGGTTGCCAAACAATTAGCGTCTTCTTTGGCCCAATAAATCTATTCAAGACAATCAATTGCATTTCACTTTTAAAAAACCAATACAAAAATTTGTTTAATTATATTTTGGTTCTGTGCATTTTTGATAACGAATCTATTGCCAAGTCGTAGGTCAACTTGTTGTTTGATTCTGGCAATGGAACAAATTGTTTAAGAAAATTGACATTTTTTTTTAAATTAATTTTCAAAACGCCAAAATGTAGATACATCAAACTTACAATAGCTGATTAACTTGAGTCAAATACTCCAAGCCCGGTGGAGAGTTGGCTATTCGACCAGGTGCAACTGTGTGTGATAATGCAAACATTAATCTTTTTAAAATCAACCAAAGTCAATCGTCGATGAACGGAAAATAACTTACTGACTCCTTGTGCGGGTTGGTAATTGAAGTCACTGGGGTCTCCATATAATTGTGATACTGCTACCTGGTAATTAAAAAAAATATTGCATGGGCAAATTTTACAACTGGGTCTTCTTTTATTTCTGATCGACAGAGCTGTATAACTTTTCAAATGCCACACCCGAATACAATAAAGAATGAGATTTACAAGAAAATTGCCCGTACCTCCGAAGTGCATATAAACGCTGTGCTGATCGGGTTTAAGCGATATACACATATATTCCGATGGTGCCGATGCTCTTCCATTTGAACTTGATGCCTGTTGTTTTCTTCCTACATTGTCCATGGCTTGTAATCTGTGAAATAAAGAACAGAGAAACAACCATTTGAATGAACTACCGAATGAACTACACTAGGTGTGCGGAAAAGTAAAATAATAACAAAATTTACCTAAGAAAGTATTCTAGCACAATACTTACTTTGATAGTTGCACAAAACACGAAAAATCAACCACGAAGAGCAAGTATATCTAACGAACTGGAGAGCTTTTGCACATTTTAAGTGGCAAATATGGTATATTTCATTTTCTATTTCCCATTTGCAATCAATACCAACTTTAGTAATTGGCAATGACTTAATGCTTCGTTCGTCGTCATGCGATTCCAGTTAAATTGTATGGACAAAGCAATTCACTAAAGTATATCGCAGCCAGTTCCAAGCCGACTTTTAATTGACTAAATTATGTTTGCTTCTTTTTTTATGACATGTTTAATAAATGAATTTTTCGCCGATGAAATACACCATTCATTGAATGGCATTCAATATAGTTGAGTCTCAATCGCTTCAGTTAATAAAGATCACGTATTTTTCTTGTAAATTTAAAAGAATACAACACATTCTACAATTTCCAAACAATCCTTATTAATTTACTTGCTATGCGGTTAAGGTAATACGGTCTATCAACACAGTCTTGAATCAAGCGACAACCGCTGCTTGTTTATGTTTGTATTTGTTATAACAAATACAAACTGGAAAATATCTGTATGAAAAGACCGGTTCGTCACCAAAACACTCTTGCCGGCGATGTTTTATATGTGAATGAAAACGACACAAACGGCGGTTCGATGACGTTAGCGTGGACTGGAAAGTGAATACGCACAAAAATCGTATTGGAAAGAATCTCGTGCGTTTTCGATGCGAAACCATAACAAAGCTGATGCTAAGTTTGTTTTGCTTTCGATGCGACAAACAATTCAAGTTCAGTAGAATTGGTTTGGGTTCAAAGCTATCGAGTACAAGACGTACGATTAATGCAATTCACTCGTACTTTGTAAAACTGAAACTTCAAAAAAGGTAAATATTGCGATTTTTTCATCAAAAAAATATTTTTTTCCCGAAAGATTTGTTTTTTATAATATTTTTTTTTTTTTTTTGAAAAACTTTATTTTTTTCTTAAACCTGTGAATGTCTAATAAATTAAAATAAATGATTTTTTTCTTCGAATTTTCCTTAAAAATAGCTTAGGCTAAGAATTCTTAACTATTGAATTATTTTGCCTATAAAAATCACTTCCGTCTTTAGAGTCTTTCATAGAATCTGGAATTCTAAGATCGAAAAAAATGACATTTCTAAGAAACATTTTGTAAGTCGACTCACAATTATAATACATACAAGCATAATACAAGCGCCTAGCAGCACAGCTTTCATTCGAACATCCAATTCCAATGGGAAAGCTATACCGTAATAATGTCCATCGGCTAGTTCACGAGCTAATCCCGCCCATTTTTTGGATATTCTTCCAATTTGAGTGCCATCCATTAGAAGAATCTGCAGGAGTGATTTTCATTATTATCAAACATAATGTGAGAAAAGGTAAAATTGATGTCTTACTTTGAATTCAGCATCACCAAAGGGACTTGATTTGAAGAATGGCGCTTCGATTCGTAAAACAGGTGTATTTTCATGATTTTTAACTGTGAAGCTATGATTTAGAAATGACCAGTCTTCTTTGACGCGTCCGATTACTTTACCAAGAGGTGCTGATACTTCGATTGAATCACGATAACCAACACCGATGCGTCGATAAAAATACATCACTTCTTGGCTTTGAATGTTCATTATTTTCACGTCGAACGGACGAGATGCGCCAAAGCTTCCTCGGGCACAGCAATTTGGCTCTTCAGTCGCCCAATAAATCTTTTTTTTAAATTAATTCACAAAAGTAAAATTAATGAAAAGAACACGTTTAAAATATTCCAAGAAGAACAGTTTAATTGACTCACATTTTGTCCGGCGGAATTTTTGACGGTGAATGTATCGTTTGGTGCCAGAAAATGGACCCGCTCTTTTACCATTAAATGGTCGATCTGCGTCAAATATCCCAAACCTAAAATAGAAATGGTTATTATTTATCTAATCATGACGGGCGCGACCATTGGTATCTATTCCTGACGGAAATTGACAGAAGTAAAATGTAAAATTTAAGAAAGTAATCTGACCTGGAGGACATTTTGGTGTACTGGCCAGCGAATCATTCATCCAATCGCCTATTCCCAAAAGAAAAAGAAAGTTGAATTGGTTGTAAACCGGAGAATGTTTAAATTTACACAAAAATACATGTATTATCCAGATGAAAACAACTACGTTTTATATTGAACAATATTTTAATCTAAATTCCATTGAAATCAGTTTTTTAATGACTGATAAGAGAGTGAATGTTTCGCAAGATTGAAACGGCTTGGATTAAAAATAGATTTCAAATAAAATTGCGACTGTTTTGTTTGTGAACATTTTGATTTGCAAACAAAGCAAAAGTCACGAATTCACGATATGGATTTGTGTACAAAGTAACAAAGTTGAAAAATAAATTACATGCATTAATGCGCGAGACAATCAAGGAACTCACTAAAAAACAATGGCAAATTTGACTGAACATCAATGATTTTCTTCTTGATCTCGATCACTTCGTTGAGATAAATGTAGATACTGTGGTGGCCTCACGGAACTCCAAAAATATAGTGCAAACAAATTGAGTCAATTCTGATTTCTCAATTGAGCTATTCGAATTACTTGTAAATTCGACGCATTTTGAACACAATATAAAAACTTTTGGCACAAAATATGTCTTTCTGTTTCGATTGGAAGAGTAAATTTCCGAAATGAGTCGTTCCCATATTTCGAAATCCCTCCAAAAATACTTACATACGGCGGCGGTGGTGTACGTGGTACAACATTGCTGTGACAATCCATTATTGACATATATGTTCCAAATGAAAGAGGTTCGAAATATTTCGATTCGACTTGAATTGCCAGTAATCTATAGTACCGGTCGACTGTGTTCAGACTGATTAATTTCATGAATCAACGCCTCAGTTTTACTGTCACCACATAATGTAACACAATCAGCTGATCCGGCGTCTGTTTTTTTTCGCGCTAAATCTTTGTTTTGATGCAATGATGAAATGCCAAGTCAAACATTGTTTTGTGAAATAGCAAATGATTTAAAAATATAAGTCGATTGTCATGGCATTTAATCAATTTTAATGAACAGAAAAGGCGAGTTTATATTTTTGCTTGGATCAAGGCTACGTTGATTAGATGACATACAATCCGTCGGTCTCGTATAAATAAAATGCACGATTAAGTTTATTGGAAACTATTTTTATTGCGCCAAATGATATACAATTTCACTTTCAAGTGATTTTCAAGCGATTTTCAATGGCATTCATTTAACCTTCTGGACTTGTGGAAAAAAGTGTATCAAAAATCACTGGATATGTTTACAACGGAAAACGACATTTTACCATTTCGATATAACATACTTTTTTTTGAACAAGTCTAAGGCTCAAATTCTTTTATAAAATATATAAACTCGTAAATCATAAATAAAAACTTAAATAATAATAAAGTTACTCCAAGTACAACACAACATATAACAGCTTGTTTGCCGCATGAACCTAGAAAAAAGAAAGCAACCATTATTTCAAAGGATGGGTGGTAGAATTCCGATCGATTTCAAGTTAGCGATCGGAACCGAAGAATTACACGACAAAACATAAAAACAGAATTAGTTAGAATGACTACCATGACGACTAATACTACCACAATTCCATAAATAATATTTTTTGTGGTGCATTCACCTTGAGAAGAAGAATATAGCGATGCAATTGGTGTTCTTCCATTTTGTTGACTTCCAATCTGTTGACTTCCATCTATTGTGAACACGGTTTGATTGTTGCGATTCGCTAATATGAAATCAATTTAATTACCAAAAGTTACTAAAAGCTACGGATCAGTTTTAGCCAAGTATTTCAAACCGAGTCCTAACTATATATTCACTTACGAAAATTGCTAACGAACTCTGAATTTGGGTACATATTTATCGGTGATGGATTTTGAACCAATGCCGTATTGGAAAAAGGTGTGTCCTGTGATTATAAAATTGGAAGCAAATTAGAAGGAAACATGGTTAGTATCATTTAATGGCACTCCGCAGTATAATCAGGCATTTTTTAAATATTTACTCACATAGTCAGGCGGTGCGGATGGCTCATTTCCATTTAATTGTTGATTTACTCCTTCGATGGCCATGATTTGGAAATTTTTAATCTCTAAACATGAAAACAAATCAACTTAATTAATTTTTCAATGAACTCCACACGGGTGTAAACAAAATGTTAATAGATAGGTTAATAATTAAGGATTGTTGAACTATTTGTGTCTATCAATGACCTTTTCAGTACATTATTTCAATTAAGAAGTTTGGTATGATGTAATATGCGAATGCGGACGTCCGGCAACGCATTCAGTTACCGCTGTTCGTTAATGTCATAAGTCGCGGTCAATGCCAAATTTCAAATTGAAATAATTTGCGGAAAGTTAATCAATGAATGATTGATGCATATTTTTTTGTTTCTTCAAATTACGCAAATGCCCCTTTTCATACTCAATTTTTAGAATGTTGGCCTTGAAAAATTTAATATCTTTTGTTTGATTTTTTAATTTTTTTTAATTTTTTGCCACTTTATAGCTCCTTGACAACAAAGAAACTATCAGAAAAAAGCAAAACCAAATAAGTTAAATTATTGTGAACTTTCTCCGTGTGACTCTCCTGTTGTTAGAAAGAATGCGTACTGTTTCCACCTAGGCCGTTTTAATATTCTCCAAAGTGTGACGCAGATAGTCTTAAAAAATACACCAAACATTGAGCACAGTAGAATCGTGTCCTCAATGGAATCTATATTGCGTGAACGTAATTTCGTCCAATTAGATTCCGACATAGAGAGATTTTGCTGGTTTTTCGCACCCGCATTCATAATAACATATACGTTCGTTATAAAGTATTCGTTGTGTGTTAATGTGTGGATTGGTTTGGACTAATATTTCGTAAATGGATGAACATGAATTTGTTTTAAGAATCGCGACATTTAGGCAATGTTGCCAATCCGCTGCTCTCGTATCAATAATAAAATGCAGGGTCAAGTTTATTTGAAAACGTTTTTATTACGCCATATGATATACAATTTCAAGTGATTATCAGTTGAATAGAACCAATTTAAATAAATGTCGCAATTCAATTAGTTATCGCTTGAAGAATTGCGATTTCTATCTCTTTCGTAAAACATTGAATTCTGCGAAAAAAACGTGAGTTAATGCGTTTGAATAAGTTAAACATTTAACATGCAGGCGCCAAGAGGCGTTAATACATACAACTAACATGCAGGCACCAAGCATAACGGCTTTCATTCGAACATCCAAATCCATTGGGAAATTAATACCAAAGTAATCGGTGTCTGTGAACAATTCTCGAGCTAAACCAGACCATTGTTTTGATATTTTGCCGACTTTTGTTCCATCCAACGAAAGGATCTGCAATTTAAAAGAAGAAAGATGTATGAAGAATTGTGTGAAAGTTCAACCAGATCATGCTTACATTAAAATCAACATCGCCACCACAAGAAAATGTACAAAGTGGACCTTCGATTCGCAAAACTGTTTCCCCCATATGGTTTTTGATCGAGTAATGTGGATAGCACAAGGTCCATTCCTGTTCAATGTGTCCAATCACCTGACCGGGTGGAGCTGATACTTCGATCGATTGCAAACAACATGGAAAACAACAACTCGAACAAGCCAACGGACGATAAAAATGAATGATTTCATTTTGATGAATATCCAACACCTTCATCTCATAAGGACGAATGGACCCGAAGCAGTTACGCGTACAACAATCAATTTGGGACAAAAATGGCTGATATTTCAGCCAGCTAAAGTTAACTATAAGTGACTATATGCGTCTTCGTGTAATTTGAGTTGAGAAATGTCGATTGTGATCATAGTTAACTACGGTTAACTATAAGTATATGAAATTGACTTTTGTCAACTATGTTGACTATAATCACTTTTAGTTAACTCTGAAACATAACCGACTATATTCGATTTCAATCATCTATTGGTAATTTTAACCGAATAAAAGTGATTAAAAGTGACTCAATTTATAGCCAGTCAGTCATTTTTTTTCCACAAGGGTTTGCAAAAGTCATGGTTTCACGACACAGATTACCTAAACAAAGTTGAATAAATTCAATTACATGCATTAATGCGTGAAACAATCAAAGTACTCACTAAAAATGACTTTGTTTCGAAAATTGAGTTTTTGTTTATAAATGTGGTTTTTCTTTTTCGCTAGGGGCTTTTATTATACAAAATATACACAACTATTCACAATATACGCATCTTATTCATCATATATGCGAATATATACGGCATAAATCTGCACCGAATAATACGTATTTTATACTGACATTGTAAACACACATTGTATAGCTTCACAGAATCGAAGAAAGACCGCACAAAAGATAATGAAAAAATACGCCATACAAGAAATATATAGGAAATATATGCAAAATATACGCCAAATATGTGCAGTTATACACATTTATTTGCGCATATTCTAGATATGCGGCATTATATTTCAATATTCGCCTTAAAAGTAGTATACGTTTGAACATAAAACTTCACAACTCTTTGACTACAGAAAATAGTTTATTATATCTAATTAAGTAAAGCAAATCCCTATCCAAACGCAAACTTTTACTCTCTCTTACCTTTTTCGACTGAGTTCACTGTTGACACTCAATGCTGTTTCCACTAAGGTTTCTATTGAATGTTTTTCGTACTAGATGATCCAAAAATATACATTAGAGCAAGACTCGAAGATATTGCATTCACTAGATTTATATAAAAGTGAATTCTGTTTTGATCTTCGTCATATTTACTATGAACGTTTTCCGCGTTGGATTTAAAGTAA